GTGAAAACGGGAGAATGTGAGTTCAAATCCCAGGCACGCGCATAAAAATCGGCATGGCATGTTGTACAGTGCTGCGGAGTGAAGACAGCCACACGAAAGGAAAAGTATTGGCCCAGAACACCCCAAGACTAAGTTCTCAGCACAAAAGAGATTTATTTGCCCCAGAGGAACAGAGGACAGGGAATAAGGGACAAAGACAGGAGGAAAGGGAACAAGGGAGGGGGAGGGGTATTTGTCGCAGAGGAACAAAGGACTGCCTCTGGAAAGAGAGGAGACAGATGTGGCCTATAGGCAAGTTGCAGTTTATAAAGGTAGAAGGGAAAACACCTGTGTTAGAATAAGGTGTTCGATTTTAATTGGGCATGTTAAATAGGCGAGCCAAAGGAAGATCTTTGGTTGCTGGGCTTCAGTGCTTCCATAGCAGAACCTTGGTAGTCAACCTCAGGAGGAGGAAGTGGCCAAATAAGAGAACAGACTGTGGTGGCTTGCTTTAAGAATGTGATCTAACGGTTTTCAGTAAGACAGAGGGGATAGGGGAGAGCGACAAGGCCGCCAGAACCACATGCTCGTGTGGACCAGTGTCCCCTCATCAGGAGCTCGCTGGCCATCCAGCCTAGCAGAAACAGTGAACTTCGGATTTGGAGAGAGATCCTGTCTCAGGGCAATAAAGGAGAGCAATAAGAGAAAACTCTCAACATCTTCCTCTGGCCTCCGAGAGCATGGGTGCAGACGCCGGCATACACACGCATGCGCACACTATACAAAAGGGCCGCAGACATAGACTTTCACCTGGGACACGATGGAATGACAGAAATTGGTTGCAGCTGCTCTCCCTAAGGACTTCATGACCTTTTTTTCATTTTTATTATCAATGCTCCCCGAGTCCAATTAGTGCTGACCCGTGTGTATAGGTGCACGTAAGCATGGAGTCAGGCGCTATGTAGGGTATGAGCTGCCCTACCAGCGGTTCCATTTCCCAAAGAAAGACTATTCTCTCTCCCTCACCAAGAGCTTCTGAAAGAGCCCTGTCACTAGCGAGAAGGCTTTTGGAGCCCCGCTCTGCACCCACACCACCGGTACTGAAGTTTGACTGGCTTCAACTTGTGCCAGTCTTGTGGAGGCGGGATCTCACTGCCTTGGAATTCGCCTAGGCTCCCTGACCAGCCACCCTCAGGGAGCGACAGGTCTCTGCTTCCCCAGAACTTGGATTACAAGCATGATCTAATACGCTCACAATTTTTATGTGGGTTCTGGGGCTCAAACTCGTGACTTCATGCTTGTCCAGCAAGCACTATCAATGAGCTATTTTTCTGGCCCAAGAATTATTTTGAGATAGGGTTTTGCCGTGAAACCAAGGCAGGATGGCCAAAATTCAAGATCTCCCTGCCTCAGCCTCCCAAGTTCTGGGATCTTAGGCATGGGTTCCCATTCCTGGCCAAGAAATATATTTCAATATTTCGCATATTCAAATATTTCAGCTGAATAATGTTACCATCTTTTTCTCATTTTTGTTAATGCTTTGAGAATTTTCTGTCATGCATTTTTGACCGTATTCATCTCCTCCCCGCTTCCTTTCAGATCCGTCGCCACCCCCTTCTTACCCACCGTAGTGTCCCTTTCAATTTGAGGGTGGGAGGATCTGAAAACTACATGATTTCTGAAATATTTTTGGCCCTTTATGTCAATCACTTTGTGAGCTTCTTGGGAAGGAAGGCACGTTTCTCGAAATGACTACCGCGAATATCTACACCCTCTCAATTGAACTTTATATTTAAGCGGTATATCAGAAAAGGTTAAAAAAAGAGTATTATAAAGTGTAACCTATTTGCGTATAATCATATTTCATGTCCTTTTGCACTTATTTATTTGGAGGGGGCACTGTATGCCTCAGTGTTCCTGTGCAGGGAGGTCAGAGAGCAACATCCGCGAGTCGTCGGTGTTTTCCCTCTACCAGGTGGGCTCCAGGGATTGAACTCAGGTCATCAGGATTGGTAGCAAGTGTCCTGACCCACAGATCCATCTTGCCACCCCTGGGGACTGTGAAACCCTCCTTCCACTCAACACCATTATTCTTTGTGTAAAGGCAGAGGACATGTGAAGAAAGATCACCTTGAGAATGTCTCAGAACGATTGCCAGGGTAAGTAGCACAAACGGCGTAGACGCAGCTCTCCGGAGGTAACTTCCTGCAGCTTGTTCCGCCGCAGAAGGGGTTGGGGAGAAGTCCTGCCTCGCATTGGATGAACCTGGAAGAGCAAGCCTTGAAGACAGTGTACTTGGTGGGGGTGGGGCGGGAGGTGATATACTAAGTGCTTACCAATCGGTACTGTGGGAAAGGAGCCTGAGCCAGTCCCAGCCAATGGGAAGAAGGATACCATTGGCTTGGGTTCCCAGAGCCTATAAGGGATTGGGAAGGAGCCAAGAAAGGTTTGTTCTATCTGCTTGGGAAGATATGTTTTGCTAGAAGGAGCCTAGAAGTCTGATCCATTTCAGAGGTGAGTGTTCGAATTTTTCTCATCATCTCAATTTTTTAGTTCTATTGACAGAGCTCACCCAACCCAGATGAAAATTTGTATTGAAAATACAAAACACAACCAGAGACTCATCTCTGAACTCCACAGTTCTCATAGATAAAATCCTTACCGGCCTCCCCAGTTATCCCCATTTCTGACATAATGTCCTAAATTCCAGTTCTGAGGCCTGGGCTCCAAGAGACTGGCCAAAGCTGACAACCCCCTAAAGCCCCGAAGAGGTCATCTTCCCTCATGGCTCAGAGGTCCAGGTTAACCACTGGCATATGTGTTAGGGTACAGCAAACGCTATAGCAGGAAGGGAGTTAGGCTAACCACTGGCACATGTGCTAAGAAAAATCAAATGTTATTGACAGGACGGGAGTTAGGCAAAGAGCAGGGAGCAGAGGCTTGAGAAACACAGACTTTCACACCCCCTCCCTACACTACTCCTCCTTAGCTAAGGAAAGCGTTAGTTTCTCCCCAGGCTCAGCCTTTGGGCATTAGCCGGGCTTCAGCTGCTGCTTCTACCGCTCAGCTGTTGCCTGAAAGGCAAAACAGTTTTGTATGTTAAGTGAATTAAATCTGACTCAGAAACACAAATGCCACATTTTCTATCATATGAAGAATCTAAATAGATAGATAATAGACAGACAGACAGACAGACAGATAGAAAATATTTGATGGATAGATCAACAGATGGTGGATAGAAAGACAGCAGGATATAAATGATATACATACATAATAAATAGGTAATAGTTGATAAATAGATCTAGATAGGCGGTAGGTAAAATAATAAATGATAAAAATAGATGACAGATATTCATGATTAATAGAGAAGTAGGTAGGTAGATATACAGCTAATGGGAAAGTAATAAGTAGATAAATAAATAATATATTGCTGATAAATAAGTAGGGGATGGTTAGGTAGGTGATATGCAGATAAATAAAAATGATTGACTGGTAGGTAGGTGATAGATGATTGATATATATGCTTGATAGATGGTTGATAGATGAATACTAGATGAAGATGTCAGGCAATAGACGGAGTATAGAAAATTGATAGATAAATGACAGATGGATAGAAGGGATAGAGGTGGTGATAGATATGTAGACAGACCATGGGTGGTAGGTGGTGTATAGGGTGTATAGCTATGGGATGGTAAACAGGTGGGTAGGTAGGTAGATGACAGAGTACTCATGGCTTCAGATGGCAGGACAGGAGAAGGGGACCATTATGGAGGAGGATGTAACAGGAGAGGGTAAGGGAAGACATAAATACTCCACAAATAGTACGCACTTCCCCTTACATGTGGACCTAGATTTAAAGAGATAGATGAAGCCAGGCGTGGTGATATATCCCTATAATCTCAGAACTCTGGAGTCTGATGCCAGAGGATTGATGTGAATTCAAGGCTTCATGGAAAGAGCCTCAAAAAAAAATGTATATGGTATTAAAACAGAAAAAAAAGATTATAAAGGGAGGAAGTGAACAGTTGGGAAACAGATAAACAAGAGCATTCAGGTGGCCAAATAGTAGCTAAGAACAATAATACACATATGTGCAAAGGTCATGACGAAACTCATCATTTGTGTGCTAAGGAAAAATTAATGTTAAAAATTAAAAACCGACTTTATATGTGAAAGAAGCAGAAGGGGAATTATCTGGGAAAAATATGGAAAGAGATGATAATAAAGGGCCTAAGAAGATCAATGCATGTAAGACATGCATCTGAAAAGTTATAATGAAATTTATAATTTTATGCAATAAGTATATACTGATAAAGTAAATAAAAATAAAAGTGTTTGCTGGGAAAAAAACAATGGCATTCTTTGTACAATTAAAAATAAAGGATTAGGACCTTGGAGAGATGGCTCAGCAGCTAAGAGTGCTCGTAGCCCTTGCAGGGGACATGGGTTCGATTCCCAGCACCCACATGGTGACTCATAACTGCCTGTATCTCCGCTTCCAGGGGCTCTTCTCTGGCCTCCTTGGGCATTTCACATGCATGATACACAACCATGAAGGCAAATATATAAAACAAAAATAAATATTTTTAAAATAATAAAGGATCAAGATTTGGGGCTTAGCTGGGCGGTGGTGGCGCACGCCTTTAATCCCAGTACTCGGGAGGCAGAGGCAGGCGGATCTCTGTGAGTTCGAGGCCAGCCTGGTCTACAAGAGTTAGTTCCAGGACAGGCACCAAAGCTACAGAGAAACCCTGTCTCGAAAAACAAAACAAAACAAAAAAAGATTTGGGGCTTGTCTAGCATGCACAAGGCCTTGGGTTCCATCTGCAGCATGAGACCCAAAGTGAGACTCAGGGGGAGTGCTGAACCATGGTGGCGGACTTCTCGTGAGATGTTGAAGTTCTCTCACTGTAGGGTGGTCTGGATTCTACCGCTGATGACCGTGCTGTGTCTTCCCAGGTCTTGTTTGTTGTCTCCTGCTCAGTTCACTGACAGAGAAGTGTTGTTCACCTTGCATGAGGATGAGTAAGGTAAATCAGAGATCCAGCCTACACCTCAACCCCCCTTCCAACTCTAGCAATCTTACTTCTACCCAAACTTGGACACACACTCCCTCCCTTGACTCCCCATGTGCTAATGGAGTCATGGTGTACATGAGTTATTTAAGCAAGACGGAGCTACAAACCTTCAAGGAGCTGTTGATGGAAAAGAAGCTCCTGCCGGACTCTCTCGGCATCACCTGGAAGCAGCTAAACAGAGCCAACTGGGCAGAGATGGTTCATCTCTTAGTAGAGTACCTGCCTGGAGCACTGGCCTGGAATGTGGCTCGTGAAGTCCTCGAGAAAATGAACCAGAGAAGGATTTCTTCCCTGCTACGGGAAGAGTTAGAGGGTAAGTGACACACAGATGGGCAGAGGCTGAGGAACCAGAGAGCGGCTGCCTGCCCTACGACTTCCTCTTCCCCTGCAAAGGAAAACAGAGTGAAGTCAGACGGTGGGTCGAACCTCCCGGCAAAATCTACTTTGTTGCCTTTGTAAATTTTTAAGACTTTCATTTTTCTGTCGTGTGTGTGCGTGTACACATGTACATGCATGTGGGGGCCCACACAGGCCAGAAGTGGGCATTCGATATAGAGTTACAGGCAGTTGTGGGGAGCCAGTGTGGGTGCTAGGAACTGAACCCAGGTCCTCTGCAAGAGCAGTAAGTGCTCTTAACCACTGAGCCATCTCTCTTCCCCCTATATTTCATCTTTTTAAAACCTTAACCAGATACTATTTATAAGAGATAGTCTGTGAATAAAAACACTGAAAACTTAGGGTGTAGTTCAGTTGGTGGAGGGCGTGCACAGCATAGACAATCTCTAGGAGCACATGTGCCAGATGAGGTGGTGCACATCTGCAATCCCAGCACTCAGGAGGTGGCCACAAGAAGATGAGATGTGTAATTCATCTTTGGCTATATCGTGATTCTCAGGTCATAAATACATGCGACCCTATCTCAAAAGACGAGGATTCTGGGTCATTCGCAGACCTGAGCAGAGCAGCAAGCTGAACTATGGTTCTCAGCTGAGCTCATGCAAGGCAATGCATTAAGTTCCTGGCCTATGCACGGGTCTCTCCAGTCCAGGCTATACCACATCTCTGTGCTTTAGTTGATTTTCTTGTTCAAAAGGTAGTGTTAAATAATCATCCAGTGATCCTGAGCACGAGGTGACTGTGCTCTTGTGAAGAAATTCTTCATGTCCATTAGATATGACTTGTAACACTGTTGTCGGCGAGTCCAGTGCTAATGAATCAGCAAGATCTAAATATAATACAGCAAATGAAATATATCTGATAAAACATTTAAACAATGTATTGAGCAAATATATTTGAATAGTATGCTGAATAAAATACCTCTAAATATGATATATGTAAGATATATGCAAAACAATGTTGTATCTTAATCAATATGAAAATATAGTGACCAGAAACTCATAAGAAACTAGCTTACTAAGCTCAGTGTGGTGGCACACATCTTTAATCCTAATACCTGGGAATCAGAGGCAGATGGCTCTCTGTGAGTTTGGGGCCAGCCTGGTCTATGTAGCAAGTTCCAGGACAGCCAGGGCTACATCGAGACCCTGTCTCAAAAAAAGCAAAAAATTAATCTTCACTGTGAATTCTCATGGGAACCATGGTACTGGCTAACACAATGCTTATGGTGATTCTAGAGAACATAGCAGCTGTGGGTAGTAGATAATCCAATGGCTGCAAATATGTATGCATATTACATATGTAAGCACACATGGTGTATGCACATTCATACATATGCATAGATGTGTGCATGCATTGCACATATATGGATGTATGTGCTGTGCTTCGGTTATCTTAGTACAGTTTTTACTGTATGTGTAAGTGGGGTGAACACATGCTCATGCACATGGGGTAGTCAAAGGGCAACACTCAGGGGTCAGGGATCTCCTCTCACCATGTGGGCACCTCTACCCACAGCCATCTCACCAGCTAGAGTGTATATATCATACTGGGTTAGGCTGACCATCCTAACCCAACAACCCATATGAAACACTTGAGAGTATGAAACATTTGGGTCACCAACATGATGCCATACAAGTGGAAAATTCCACTTCTGAACTCATGTGATAAGTCGTAGATAAGATGTAGGCACACTAAAATCATTGTCTTCAGGGATGGGAAGTGTTTGGGGGGGGGTTCGGAAAATGCCCTTGCAAAGTAAGCCTGACAACCTGAGTTTGACCTCTAGAACCCAGACTTTTATAAAAGGTAAATGTGGTGGCATCCATCTGAAATCCCACCATTCTTACAGCAGCTTGGGAGGCAGAGCTGGGAGAATTGGCCAATAGCTTCTGAGCCAGCTAGCCTGGTGCATGCAGCACAGACACAGAGATACAGAGAGAGACCTGCCTCAAAAATAACACAGAGGGGAGAACCCTGACTCTCCAAAGGCTTCCACACTTGTGCTGTAACTCGTGCCCTTCTCTCTCTCTCTCTCTCTCTCTCTCTCTCTCTCTCTCTCTCTCTCTCTAATTTTTTTAAAACTACCTTTAGATTGTATATAAGGTGCTTAGGAAATATAAATGAATGAGAAGGCAGTCAGCTGGACTTCCCGACAGAAATCAAGTCTCTAGCAGAGGAGAGAACCCGCTTGGGTGAGACTTCCAAGCAAAAAGAAAAATAGTAATAGATAGAGATGATGTCATCGAATCGGGAGCTTACAACATCCAGCAGAAACCCACTGGAGAAGTTAACACAGTCAGCTGGGGTTCATACCGGTGCCTTTTCTCCATAATTGAGCTGGGTTCCAGACTTCTATTTCCCACTGCGACACTTTCATATCCTGGGGAAAACAATAAACCTCTGTCGAATGGGACTCGCCTTCTAGCTCCTCTTGAGGTCGTAGTGTTTTTATTCTTGAGCTGCTTTATTCTGTCCCTGTCATGGAATTAGAGTAAAAAGCCCCTCCCACAGAAAAAGGGTTCTGGAGAACACCTGACATACATATGCTTAGGTCTCGAGTGTAGAGAAAGGGACCCCACTTTCAGAGCCAACTTCTCAGTCACCTTCAATCACACGTGACAGTTTACCAGAATAATGTCCATTAGACCCTGTTCATTCTGATGGGCTAGTCACTTTTCTCATCCATTGCAGACATTCTTCCTACCTTGGAACCAACGGACTCCTATCTAAGGAAAACACCGCTGAGTCTGACGAAAGAAGAAAACGGTATGTGCTAGCACTGGGCCAGTCTGGTGAAAGTGGGGTACGGGCTGGAGCAAGAAGTTCAGATGCCTCGTCAGCATAGACTGTACGTGAAAGTGGGTAGTCTCTCTTCTACTCATTGAAATTTAGGCAGAAATAGTGTTCGTGGACTCACGTGGCCACCTGGATGCAGGAGCTCTAAACCCATCATCAGAGATGCTTTTCTGCCTTCCTTATGGGTCAGCCTTCTGTAGAGGCTGGTTCTGAACAGTCTCTCCCTTGACAGTAGCCACCTTCATTCCCAGCTAATTTAAAGAACACCGGTTTAAGGGTATATTTTCCAATGCTTCCATCAAAACTCCTCAGATTGGGGCCAGTGAATGAAAAAGGTCATATTAGCTGATTAAAAAAAAAACAAAACAAAACTCCAGTTAGTTAAGAAAAACTAGTGTAGATATCCCTCGATATCTTAGGGGAGTTTGTCAGCATGCACGGATGCTAGAGTCTCTTATATGCAGTGATACAGAGCCTGCACCTAACTTCCACACATCCCTCCCGTGCACTTAAAATTGTCAGCCGATTGTTTCTTTCCTTGCTGCTTGAGAATTTCATACACGTATGTGTTGTGGTCTGAAAAGATCTACCTCCTTTCCCTCCCTTCCAGTCCTCCCAAACCTCACGTCACTTTTCTCTCCTAACTTCACTTGCTCGTTTTTCAAACTCACTGGGTACACTTAGTGCTTCTGATATGTCCATTGCTAGAGAGCTGTGGTGATTTAAAAGAAAGTGGCCCCCAAAGGGAGTGGCACTAATCGGAGGTGTGACCTGGTTGGAGGAAGTGTGTCACTGTGGTGGCGGTGTCTCTTCTCAAGCTTCACTCATTATGACAGTCAGATCGACTTCCTGTTGCCTCTGAGTCAGATAGAGGACTCTCAGCTCCAGCACCACGTCTGCCTGCAGGCTGCCGTGCTCCCCATCCCGATGATAATGGGCTGAACCTCTGAACTGTAAGCAAGTCGCCTCAATTAAAGGTTTTCATTGAAGAGTTGCCATGGGCATGGCATCTTTTCACAGCAGTAAAAATCCTCCCTGAGACAAGAGCCATCTACCAGAACACAGGCAGCCTCTCGGGCGCCACACCTGAAGAAAACTGGCTATCCTCCACCAGCAGCCATCAGGTGCCAATAGCTCTCAACTAGGGGTGAGATTTTATGAGCCCCTCCCCGTTCCATGCTGAGATTTTGAGCTGGCTTGATCTTGTGCAGGCTCTGTGAGCGCTCTCACAGTCTCTTGCGAGCGAGCGGACGAGTGCAATGGCCCTGATATAACCATGCAAACATGTTTCCACTACAGATATCCACTACCTCTTCCTCTTACAATCTTTCTGCCTCGTCTTCTTCAATGATCTCTGAGCCCTGGAGGAAGGGAATATGTGCTTCAGATGTCACATTTGGTACCTACTGCAATGTCAATTCTATAAATAACTAATTGAGTTTCTCTTCTATTTATGTTGTGGTGTGTGTGCACACATACACACACACACACACACACACACACACACGAGCATGCTGCAGCATGCATGTGGAGGTTAGAAGACAATTTGCTGGCGTCCCTTCTCTCCCAGGTATCACACTCAGGTCATCACCCTTGGCAGCATGAGACTGTCCCCACTGAACTGTCTTGCCAATCACCATTATGTTGAATTGTTTGGGGATGCTGATTCTTTAAAAGGAGGTACATATTCAGCACAAACGCAACTTTCAAAAGTATTTTCAATCAATAGCTGATTGAATATATATTGCAGAAACCACAGATTGTGGTAGCCTGACTACGTCTATCAGATGCTTTCCTTTGGCCCTTAGTTCCCTCCCTGTCTGTGTCCTCATACAATTTGATTGAGAGAATCTGTTACCCATTAGCGTAATTTGTTTTGTTTTGTTTCCCTTACCAGAATCCTCTCTCTGATATCTCTAGAATCTGAGGGATGGAAGAATGAATTAAGATGCCTGCTGTAGCTAGACCCTAGCTTGGGTGGTTCCATCATGGAACTATTGTGAACAACACTGTCAAGAATAGCCATGTGGCTGTATCTCTGTGTTATGTGACTTGCAATCTAGTTCAAGGGCTTGAGGGTGGGAAGACGGGCTCCCAGAGGAAATTCAAACATCCCATGGAGGCTGGCATAGACTTACACAGCTGTACTTTTTTTTTACCAATGCTCTAAGCAACTCTAAAGGAGTTTCTGTGTTTCTTCATGATTCTAGATAAAATAAGGGAGTACAAACGGCGTGTGATGGGAAAGAACTTCCTTGTGTGTGACACCACCGTCTGGCCTGGAAACCAAGCAGACTTTCTGTACATCAATGTGAGAAACCACGATGCAATCTTGCCATGTCTCTTCCTACCCAGGAGCCCCCAGGGGAGACAGCCTAAGATAGTGGTCATCCATGGAATTCCTGGTATCGGAAAAACAACGCTGGCCAGAAAGACAATGCTGATGTGGGCGCAAAACAAGTTCTACGCACACAAATTCAAGTTTGCTTTCTATTTCCACTGCCGGGAGCTGAACTGGGTGGGAGAGCGCAGCTTCTCGGAGCTGATTGAGGGCCAAGGGCTTAGGTCTCAGGCTCTCGTGTCTAAGATTTTATCCAGACCAGATCAACTTCTGCTCCTGTTGGACGGCTTTGAGGAGCTCACATCTTCCCTCATCATAAGACCAGCTGATCTGGTGGAAGACTGGAACCAGAAGTTGCCTGGGGCTGTTCTCCTGAGCAGCTTGTTAAGCAAAAGGATGCTTCCAGAAGCCACACTCCTGATCATGGTGAGACCGACCTCCTGGAGAGGAGTTAAAGTCTTAGTCAAGCGTCCCTCCCATGTCACCCTGACTGGATTTAGGAGGACGGAAACGCTCGACTATCTCAGGTTGTATTTCAAAGACAGAATGAAAAGGAATCAAGTTGTGGATTTTGCCATGAAAAACACCATTCTCTTGTCCATGTGTCGGGTCCCTGTGGTGTGCTGGATAGTGTGCCATTGTCTAAGAAAACTGATGCAGAAAATGGTAAATCTCACAGAGGCTTGTCCAAATGCAACATCTGTGTGTGTGTTGTATCTGGCTACCCTGTTCCCAACCATATGGAAGAAACTTTCCGGCAGTAATTACCAAAAGCAATTGGAAGGTGTGTGCCGTCTGGCTGCCCATGGTGTATGGGACCTGAAGAGTGTGTTTGATAAGAGTGACTTTCAGCATGTCAAGGTGGCTGAGGCCACCATAGACGCTTTCCTTCAAGTGAACATTCTTCGAAAGCTAGAAGACCACGGAGACCGTTACGTGTTTGCCTTGTTTATCTTCCAGGAGATTTTTGGCGCCCTGTTTTATGTTCTCTTTTTCCCCGAAAGAATTATATATTATCACCCACTGAGCCAAGTGGGCATCCAGGATCTGATTGCAATGTCGCGATCCAGAGAAAACTGTGAGACTCAGATGGGGCTTTTCTTATTTGGTCTTTTAAATGAAGCGTGTGCTGGCATCGTGATGAGGTCCTTCAAGTGCAGAATAGGCTTGGGTAACAAGAGGAAGGCCATAAGTGTGATAACCCATTTGAATGACTATGGATGCTATGACTGCTCCCAGCTCTTCCCCTGCCTGACGGAAATCAGGGAGGAGAGCTTTGTCTGCAGTGCCCTGGAAAGCTACCAGAAAGTCTTTTTGAAACTCAGGAGCCTGAAGGACCTTCAGCTGTCTGCGTTTTGCCTTAGGCGCTGCCGAGGTTTGGAGAAAGTAGAACTGACTCTGTCGAGAGCCTTCTACCAGGACCTTTGGCCGGACTCAGCAGATCCTACCCAGAGCACTCAGTGAGTGTTTTAGTCTTTGGTAGTAGCCTGCTGCGCACTAGGGTTTCTACCTCCTGGGAATGCAGGAAGCAGTTGAGTTCTGATCTTGTGGTTATTGTTCTGTTTTCATTTAGGTTTTATTGGGTGCATGTGAATGCTTTACCTACATGTATGTCTGTGCACCACATGTGTCTGGTGCCCTAAGAGGCCAAAAGCAGGCACTGGATCCCCTGGAACTGGGGTTAGGGTTGATTGTGGACCAACATGTGGGTTCTGGGAAGCGAAACTTGGTCCTTTATAAGAGCAGCAAGGTCTCTGAGACACCCTTTAACAGCTACTTGGGTAGTTTTTAAATTATGTTTTATTTATTGAATGTAGAGATGGGTGCATGCCTACCAGGGAGCACGGGTGGAGGCCAGGGGACAACTTGTAGGAGTTAGGTCTCCCTTTCCAGCGTGTGGGTGGCAGAGGTAGAACTCAAGTTGAAGGGTGTGGTGGCAAGTGCTATTCCCTACTGAACTATCTAGCTAAGTCAATGTTAGTTTAGGCTAGTGAAGACCCCAAATCTTTCTGCTCTCTAGTTTATACGATTCTTCTAACTTATTTGTGGTTTAGTCTTGGTTTGTTTTAGTTTTTTGAGACAAAGTCTCTCTCTCTCTCTCTCTCTCTCTCTCTCTCTCTCTCTCTCTCTCTCGCCCTGGCTGTCCTGGAACTCACTTTGTAGACCAGGCTGTCCTTGAACTCACAGAGATCCACCTGCTTCTAGAAGCCTCCTGAATGCTGGCATTGAAGGCATGACTTGGTTATTTTATCTCAAATGCCAGTCCTGTGTTTCCTCATTTTTTTTCATGTATTTTTATTGAAATGTGTATGTGTGTGCATGTGCACGTACTGAGACAAGATTTCTCTATGTAATAGTCCTGGCTGTCCTGAAACTCACTCTGTAGACCAGGCTGGCCTTGAACTCACTAAGGTTCTCCTGTCTCTGCCTCCCAAGTGCTGGGATTAAAGGTGTGCCATCACTGCCCAGCGAAAATAGATTTTTTTTTCTCACAGAATATATCCTGATTATGATTTCCAGTTCCTGTCCACCTCCCAGTTAATCCCCCTCTTCCATCTTGATGCATTCCCTTTGCTCCTCTAGAACAAACAGGCTTCTAAGGGATAATAATAAAATAAGATAAAATATAATATAATAAGAGAAAACAAAAGCAAATATGTTGGAATTGAACAAAACCAGTAAAAAGAAAAGAGCCCAAGAGAAGGCACAAGAAACACACTCAGGAACCCCATTTAAAAAACCCACTAAACTGGAAGCCATACTGTGTACACAGAGGACCTGGTGCAGACCTATGCAGGCCCTGTGTGTGCCACCTCAGCCTCTGTGAGCTCATCTGAGCTTTGCTCATGATGATTTAGAGGACCTTGTTCGCCTGGTTCCTCCATCCCCTCTGGCTCTTACATTCTTTTCACCTCCTCTTCCTAAGGGTTCCCTGATCCCTGAAGGGAAGGATTTAATAAAGATGCCCCATTTAGGACCGTGTGTTCTGAGGTCTCCCACTCTCTGCATAATGTCTGGCTGTGGGTCTCTGTATTTGCTCCCATCTGCTGCAGGAGGACGCATTTCTGATGATGGCTGAGCAAGCCATTGATCTATGAGTACAGCAGAGTGGGACTGGGAGTCATTGTATTGCTTCTTTTTTGCTTTAGACTAGTGGGATGTGGTTTTATCCTAGGTCTATGGGCTATCTAGTCTCTGGTTTTTAGTCACCCAAGCAATGCCAGGTATGGGTTCCATCTCTGCTTTTCCCATTGTGTATTTCTGGCTTTTTTTTTTTAATCAAAAATCAGGTATCCAAAGGTGTGAATTTATCTCTAGAGCTTCAATTCCATTCCATTGCCTGCTGTGTCTGTTTTGGAGCCTATACCATGCTATGAGAATTTGAAATTGGGGTTAGTGATACTTCCTGTAGTATTTTTATTATCCAGGGTTGTTTTAGCTGTCCTGGGTTTTTTGTGTGTATGTTTCCATACAAAGCTGAAAATTGTCCTTTAAAGTTCAGTGAGGAATTATGTTGAGATTTTGATGGGGATTACATTTGGTAAGGTGGCCATTTTTACTATGTTAATCCTACCAATCCATGAACATGGGCGATCTTTTCATTTTCTGACGTCATCTTCAACTTCTTTCTTGAGTCTTTTAAAGTTTTTATCATGCATGCTTGGTTAAAGTTGCCCCCAAGATATTTATAGTGTTTGAGGCTATCATGAAAGCTGTTTCCCTGATTTCTTTCTTAGTTCATTTTTCACTTGTATATAGCAAGGCTTACATGAGCTAATTTTGTATTGAGCTACCTTGCTGAAAATGTAAATCAGTTGTTGGAGTTCCCTGCTGGAATTTTTAGGGTGTACACTATCATACCATCTTCAAATAAAGATACTTTGATTTCTTCCTTCCCAGTCTGTATCCTCTTGATTTCCTTTGATTGTCTTAATTGCTCTGGCTAATACTTCAAGTACTATATTTATTAGGCATGGAGAGAATGGACAACCTTATCTTGTTCTTCTTCCTACAATTGCTTTGAGTTTCTCTCCATCTAATTTGGTTTTAGCTATAGGTTTGCTGTATATTGCCTTTATTTTGTTTAGGTCTGTTCCTTGTATCCCTGTTCTCTCCAAGACATTTATCATGAAGGGGTGTTAGATTTAGTCAAAGACTTTTTCAGCATCTAATCAGATGATCATGTGATTTTTTTCTTTCAATTTGTTTATATGGTGGAATATATTTATTGATTTTTGTGTGTTGAACCATCCCTACATCTCAATATGAAGCTTACTTGATCATGGTAAATGATATTTTTGATGTGTTCTTTGATTCGGTTTTCAAGTATTTTATTGAGCATTTTGGTATCTATGTTTTGAGAGAAATTGGTCTGCAATTCTCTGTGTTCTCTTTGTTGGTTCTTTACTCCATTTGGGTATCAGGTTAACTGTGTCCTCATAAAGTGAATCTGGCAATGTTCCTTCTGTTTCTATTTTGTTTAATAATTTTAGGAGTATTGGCATTAACTCTCCTTTCAAATTCTGATAGAGTTCTCTTCTGAAACCATCTAGCCCTGGGTTTTTCTTGGGGGGGGGGGATTTGTTGGTTGGTTGGTTGGTTGGTTGGTTGGTTGGTTTGGGATAATTAGTGACTGATTCTGTTTCACTAGAGGTTATACGTCTATTTAAATTATTTATATAATCTTTATTTAACTTTTGTAAGCTGTATGTATCAAGAAAATTATCCATTTCTTTTAGATTTCCCCATTGGTAGAGAACAGGTTTTTAAAAATATGTCCATATAATTCTGTGGATTTTCTTGGTGTCTGTTGTTATGTCCCCCTCTTCATGTCTAATTTTGTTAACTTGAATATCCTTTCTCTACCTTGTAGCTAATTTGTATTAAGGTTTGTCAATCTTATCAATTTTAATCAAAGAACCAATTTTTCATTTCATTGATTCTTTTTATTGGGTATTGTTGTTGTTGTTTCCATTTTATTGATTTCAGCCCTGAGATTGATTCTTTCAGTTCTTTCCTTCTGGATGTGGTTTCTTTCTTTTGTTCTAGAGTTTTCAAATGTGCTGTTACGTTACTAATATGAGATCTCTCAATTTTTTTAAATAGAAGCACTTTTCCTATGAACTTGCCTCCAGAACTGCTTCCATTGTGTCCTATAAGTGTGGGTATGTTGTGTGTTCATTTTCACTCAATTCCGGGAAGTCTTTTTTAATTTCTGTCTTGATCAATTTTTCATTCAGTAGTGAGTTGTTCAGTTTTCATGGGTTTGTAAGCTTTCTGTTGTTCTGTTGTTGCTACACAACCTTAATCCCCAGTGGTCTGACAGGATGCAGGGGGCTGTTTCAGTCTCCTTGTATCTGTTGAGACTTACTTTGTAATTGAGTACATGGTCGATTTTGGAGAAAATACCATGAGATGCTGAGAAGGAGGTATGTGTGTGTGTGCGTGTGTGCTTGGGTGAAATGTTCTGTAAATATTTGTTCGGTCCATTTGGTTTATGATGTCTGTTAACTCCAGCATTTCTCTGTTTGGATTCAGTCTTTATGACCTGTCTATTGATGAGTGTGGGCTACTGAATCCTCCCACTATCAGTGTGTGAGGGTCAAGATAGGGTTTGAGCTGTAGTAGTGTTTCTTTTATGAAATAAAAGAGTGTGGGGGAGGGGTGCCCTTGTGTTTGGGGCATAGATGTTAAAAATTGCAATGTCCACTTGGTGGATTTTTTCTAATGAGTTTATACTGTCCTTCTGTATCTCTTCTGGTTAAATTTGTGTTGAAGTCTGTCAGCTATTAAAATGGCTACATCAGCTTTCTTCTTCTTCTTCTTCTTCTTCTTCTTCTTCTTCTCCTCCTCCTCCTCCTCCTCCTCCTCCTCCTTCTCCTACTCTCCCTCCTCCTCCTTCATCATCTTCTTTTTTGTTTTTTTTTCATTCAAAAATTTCCACTTCCTCCCCTCCTCTCATTCCCCTCCCGCTCCCCCACTCACCCTCCTCTCTCACCCTCCAGTCTTCCTGTCGGAAGTTCAAGGTCCTCCCCCGTCCAAGTCTAGGAAGGTGAGCATCCAAACAGACTAGGCTCTCAAAAAGCCAGTACATGCAGTAGAAACAAGTCCCAGTGCCTTTATTAATGGCTTCTCAGTCAGCCCCCATTTTCAGCCATATTCAAAGAGTCTGGTTTGATTGCATGCTCATTCAGTCCCAGTCCAGCTGGATTTGGTGAGCTCCCATTAGATCAGGCACACTGTCTCAGTGGGTGGACCAACGCTTTGCAGTCCTGACTTCCTTGCTCAACGTCTCCCTCCTTCTGCTCTTCAACTGGACCTTGGGAGCTCAGTCCAGTGCTCTGATGTGGGTCTCTGGTCTCTATCTCTATCTATCGCCAGATGAAGGTTCTATGGTGATAGTCAAGATATTCATCAGTGTGACTATCCAGTGATAATCTTTTTTGGTTTTTTGAGACAGCATTTCTCTGTGTATTTCTGACTATCCTGGAACTCCCTCTGGAGATCAGGCTGGCAGGTTGGTTTAGAACTCATAAAAATCCTCTGTCTCCTGCGTGCTGGCATCAAAGGCATGTGCCCAGCTACCAGTTTACTTCTTAGATCAATTTGTTTGGAATGTCTTTTTCTATCCTTTTACCCTGAGGTGATGTCTATCTTTGATGCTAAGGTGTGTTTCTTGGCTACAGCAGAAGGATGGGTCATGTTTTTTTAACCCATTCTGTTAGTCTCTTTTCATTAGGGAACTGAGACCATCGATGATGAGAGATATCAATGAGCAATGTTTGTTGATCCCTGTTTTTATTTTGGTGTGGTGTGGTGTGGTGTGTGGGTGTGTGTGGGTGTGCATGTGCACACCCACACACACTTCCCTTCTTTTCATTTGTTGGTCTGGTATTATTTATTCCTTGTGTTTTTTGGGGTGTAGTTAACTCTTTAGGTTGAAGTGTTCCTTCTAGCACCTTCTGGAGGACTAGATTTGTAGATAGATATTGCTTAAATTTGGTTTTATCTTGGAGTATCTCATTTTTTCCTTTATGTGCCAAGGAACTTTCTTTTCTGGTACATTCTATTTTGTGATCTATATGTTTCTTGTATCTTGATGATCATCTTTTTCTTTAGGTTAGGAAAGTTTCTTCTGATTTTTTTGAACATATTTTCTTTGCCTTTGACTTGGGTTTCTTCTCTTTCCTCTATCCCTGTTATTCATAGATTTTTCTTTTCATAGGTCCCAGTTTTCCTGAATGTCTTATGACAGAATTCTTTTAGATTTAGCATTTTTGACTGATTCTTCATTTCTCCTTTTGCCTCTTCAATGCCTGTGATTCCGTCTTCCGTCTCTTGTGTTCTAGGTGAAGTGTAGAAGAAGCAGTGGGCCGCTTCCTGCCACCCGGCTCCCGGCTGCCTGGCTAGCTTATGTGACTTTCCCACATCAGTGAAGCATGCCTCTAGGGTTCCTGTATTAGTTCCCATAGTTTTTATTTTAGATTTTCCTTGGTTTGATTTTTTTTATTGATTTTATTTCCATTTTCAGGCCTTGAAATGTTTTATTCATCTCCTTCCATGGTGTTTTTGTGTTTTCATAGATTTCCTTATGGGATTTATTTTTATTTCCTCTTTAAGGATCAGCACCATCTTCAGACAGGCTGTGTTAAGATCTTTTGATTGTTCTTTAGCTATGTTAGAATATTCAGGGCTTGCTGGGCTCTGGTGAAGACATACTGTCTTGGCTGTTACAGTTGTATTTTTATGCTGGCATCTAGGCATCTAGGGTTGAGAAGACTGTAATTCTAGGTGCTAATATCTGTTCTTGTCTTTATCAGGTAGGTGTTTTGTTCCTGGTTTCTGGTTGCTTTCTCGGGTTCTTAGGAGAATATGGTGGCTGTGTGTTGCTTAGTAGAAAATTCATGTGGGCCACTGTGGCCACTGGGAGTCCAGGTAGAATGCATTTCTAGGTGTCTGGAGCTGATGCTTGGGGATGGGGTTAGAGAAGGAAGGGGAGCATGTGAGGGAGCAGTGGGGAGAAAAGTGGGTCCCCTAGAAATGGGGGCAGAGAGTGAGGCGGGGTCATGGCAGGTCTGCTACAGGGCTGTGGATGAAACTAGGGGTTTGAACTTGAAGGAATGGAGAGAGAGGTGAAGGTTTTCAGCTAGCCTCCAGCTTGGCTGGCCAGAGTAGTCTGCAGACTCCCTGAGAATGCCTGCCTGGCTGCTGGAGCTGGAAGCTGGCATGAAGCATTGAACGGGAGCGGGTGAGTCTGGAGGAAGATCTGTTTGAGCCACTCGGAATTGGGAGCGAGAGGCTGGAGCAGGTGTCTGCTACTGAGCCGTGGATAAGACTGGGGAACTGGTTTTGGAGGAGCTGAAGGAGAGGTGAAGGTTAGCCTACCTGCTTCCCTGGCTGGAGCAGCCTGCAGGCTTCCAGGCTGTTTATTCAACTTTAAACTCGAATTTTCCTTGAGTTTAATGTCAATCTTGGGCCCTTACCCTTCTTCTTTTTTTTTTCCTTGCTGTCACTCAGACTGAGAGAGAATAAGATCGTCTTCAGCTGGTGGGAAGATATCTGCTCTGTGTTTGAAACAGAAACAAATAAAGACCTGGAAGTGCTGATGGTGACTGACAGCATCCTGGAGGCCCTGTTCATACAGATAGTCACTACTACCCTGCAGAAGCCCCAGTGTAAAGTGCAAAGGTTACAGTGAGTACTGTATTCCATGTTTGTTTACTCTTCTGTTACTATGGCAACAAAATGCACGGACACAAATCCAGCCTAGAGCCCATCATGCCAGGGGAAGACTGAGCAACATGGAGGAAGGAAGGGCACAGTGCAGGAGCAGGAAGACGTCTACATTTCAACCACACGCATAGGAAAGAGCAAGAGAACAAGAGGGTCTGGGCTATGAAACCTTAAAGCCCGCCTCCAGTGACGTACTTTCTCCAGTGAGGCTCCACCTCCTAAAAGTTCCATAACCTTCCCAAAGGGCACCACCAACCACAAACCAAGTGTTCAAACACAAACCTATATGGTTTCAAATTTCAAATTCAAATCCCTACAAGTATCAAACACAAGTGTATTCCAGAGAATAGTGACCACTTCCTGGCTGGAAGGAAGCCCATGGAAATATCTATTTCCATTTAACTTGCTTATTCCTTCTCCTATTTCCCACTCTATGGGCAAGAAATACACACACTGAGCTATGTTTTTACGTCATTGCATCATTTTTAGTGGCTCTCAATGCTTTATATTTGTAGTGTGTTTCGTTATGGCATTTTCATACATATTTTCTTTTGTTGTTGTATGCATAAATTGTGTATGTGTATGTATGTGTGTGTGTGTCTGTGTGTATATGTGAGTGTGAAGACCAGAGGACAATGTTTTTTGTTTTCTCCCTCTTTTTTGAAGCAGGGTCTCTTGCTGAACATAGAACTCGCTCATTCATCTAGGCTGGCTTGCCAAAAGTCCCAGAGATCCCCTGTTTCTTTCTCTAAAGCACTGGGGTTATAAATACCCTACTTCCCATTCAAGTGCTAGGGATCTGAACTCAGGTCTTTGCTTGGGTCATCTCCCCAGCCCTGATGCCCCTCTTGAAGGCTGAGTAGCCTGCAGTTGTACGTGTGCCACATTTCTTTTCACCCATTCATGTGTGAAGGGTGTGCCATGTTCAGCTTTCCGTGGGATGATTACTGTGTTCAGAAAGTGAATTTGAGCTGGTGGGTGAATGAAACTGTATACTCGGGAGCCAGAAGTCACATCAGTTCCTATCTTGCCAGTGGCTGGGTCCATGAATGCCCAGGGCACAGATGGTACAATGGAATATTGGGTTTCTGCTAATATACTCTGTTGTGTGCCAGTGTGCCCACATCCATAAAAGGATGATAATGGAGGCTGGAGCAGTGGCTCAGTGGGGAAGTGTCAGGGGTCTTGAATACCAGCCTCAGAACCACCTCAGGGCTCGGAGCAGGACTTGTACAGCAAGCGAAAATCTGACTCCTAAGATCTCAGGGTAAATAAATTAACTCAAGCACGTTACCTCTGCATGTTCTTTATTCTTTGGGTGAAGATGCAAAAAAAGAGAGAAGGGATGATGTCCACCTGGTTTTTAAATAGTTTAAATTTTTTCATAGACAAAACAATGAAATCAACATGCATTTGAGAATCACAAAATAACAGGTAGAACGTGGCAAAGCAGCTCCAAGAAAAGGTGACACCACCCAGGAAGGGCCAGCGTCCCAGGGGAAATTGCTGACATTCCAAACCCTTAGAGAAGAGCCCTAGACAGCCCTGAACCCTGGACTCGCCCACACCCCTTCCCCCAATCTCCTGTTTGTCAGTAAGGGCGGGCACCCTGTCTTCCTCTCTCTTTTTGAAATTTCTACGTGATCTATTAGCAAAAGTAATTGTGGGGGGTGACTTTAAGTAGATTTGACTATTTAGAACAAAAAGTCACTCCATTGCCTGTACAGGAGGAAGTTACTAGGCTGAGGTATTTTGGGAAGGAATTCCATTTTGAAGGGGAAAAGAGTCAAGGCTTCACAATTCTGTTTTTACAGAATTGACAGCAACTTATCCAAAAGACAAGTGTTCCCAAAGCTCTGCCATTGGGTTCTCTGTATGAAGTGTCTGTAATATATATATATATATATATATATATATATATTCCCGTATATACCTATCTGTCTATTGGTCTGTCCACTGTGCATTCGCTATATAGGCTTGTGGGCTTGTGACAGGGAAGAGCTGTACTGATCTTAAAGAAGACCTGAGTTTAGTCACCAAAACCCATATCAGACAGTTCACAACTACTTACAATTCCAGCACCAAGGAATTAGATGTTCTTTCCTGGCCTCTGTGGGTACCTGCATTTGTGCATACATGCATCACACACTCACTCAACACACACACACACACACACTCAACACACATGCACCACACACAAATGTTCAACACATAAGCACACACATTCAACACACACATACTCAACACAAGCATGCACACAGACTCACACACTCAATACACATGCACACACTGACACTCTCAACACACATGAATGCAAACATACATCATAATAATAAAATAATAACAAAAACTAGGTGTGGTAGTATATATCTTTAATTTCAGCATTCAAGATGTATAGGCAGGTGGATCTCTATTAGCTAGAGGCCAGCATGATGAATTATAGACCAGCCAGGGGAGTGAGATCCTACCTCAAAAAAACAAAAATTACTACTACCACTACTACTATTATTATATACATTTTAATAATAATAATACATTTTCAAGGCTAATAATGATATAGCGATGACAAGGTTAAAATAGTTCCACAGTAGAGCCCACAGAACCATGCCCAAGAGAAGGAGCGTATCATTCTAGAACTTGTTCTGCCTGTAACTCTAGCTCCAGAGAGGCCAGTGCCCCTTCTGTCCTCTGTGAGCACGCCCTTACGTGCATTTACTGTCACAACACACCCACATGCACATATGCACACACACAAATGAAGAATTTCAAGTCTGAGATCAACTACCCATAAGCTTTAGAGAACACTGCTGCCCCCTAGCAGTTGAAGAGCTCATCTCCCATCCCTACACCCTGCCTTTTCTGCACCAGCAGCAGCAGCTGCCTGCATGTGGTCGCCAAGGAGCTGCGCTGGCAAGCATGAGATCTTCCCAGAGGAGGAGATAGGATGAAATAGATCATGGTTCCAGCTTAGCAAGCTGTTATAATGGGAAATGCATGTATCCCTGGCCCCCAAACGTTTCATCTTTCATTCCATCCTATATAAATCCATACATAGACAACCAGGGAAATGGGCAGGAGCATCACCATGACTTCATTTTCAGTCATACAAACTATACTGTGTGTGTGCATGTGTTCGAGAGAGAGAGAGAGTGTGTGTGTGTGTGTAAGTGTGCACATGGAGGACAGAGAGCAGCCTTTTGGAGTCAGTTCTCTCCTTCCCCATCTCTGATCTGGGTTCAAACTCAACTCATCAAGTTTGGCAGCAAGTGCCTTTACTGAACAATCACATCAGCCCTCGCTCACACAAACTGTAACAGCAAAGTTTTAGGGCATAGTTCCTGCCTTTCTGGAGCACTCCTAAAACTCACAACTACGCTAAATTGGAACCCCATTTCACGGATGAAAATAAAAGATAAGGCATGGGGCTGCAGAGCTATGGGTATCAAGAACTGGACTAAAGCTGCACATACTCAAGATGGGGCAGCACACACTGCAATTGTAGCACTTGGAGGGTATCAGCAGGAGGAGGAGGAGTTAAAAGTCATTTTTGACTACATAGTAAGTTCAAGGCCAACCTGAGATTTATGAGACCTTTTCTCTAAGAATTAATTTTTTTAAAAATCTAACTCTGGGGTTGGAGAGATGGCACAATGGTTAAGATTACTTGCTGCTCTTGCAAAGGACCTGAGTTTGATTTCCAACACCCGTATTGAGCCCTCAAAACAGTCTGTCACTCTAGCTCCAGAGAATCCAACACCCCCTTTTGGCCTCTGTCAGCACACACATACACACACACATACACACACACACCACACACACACATACACAGTATTTTTTAATCAAAAAGACCTAACCCCATAGTTCTTTTATCTGTTAAACTGTACACCCAATCCCTGGTGCTTTTAAGATCCAGAAAGTAATCATTTATCATATAAACAAACCACTGATTTTTCCTTAAAACAAAACATTAAACCTCACGTAGGCCTTGGCCAGTATCTGACTGCCTTTTCTTCTGTTATAATCGCTGTTATTGGCTCCCGTGAACTGAGTGCCTACCATAGCACAAGAAGGATGCTGAGGGAGTTGGGGAGCTGGCTCAGTCACGAAAGTGTTAGCTACACAACCACAAAGATCTCAGTTCCAAGTCCCAGCTCCGACATAAAAACCAGGCAGGGCCAGGCATGCCTATAATCCCAGCACTGGAAAACAGAAGCGAGACTAGGCCCTCTAGGCAGCTAGTCTAGCCAATCAGTAAACTCCAGGCTTAGTAAAGGGTTCTATGTTTTAAAAATATGGCACCAGGCAGTGATGGCGCATACCTTTAATACCAGCACTGAGGGAGGCAGAGGCATGCGGATCTCTATGAGTCCGAGACCAGCCTGGTCTACAGAGTGAGTTCCAGGACAGCCAGGGTTACACAGAGAAACCCTGTCTCAAAAAAAAAATGGAGCATGATCAAGGACACCACTCAGCATCAACCTCTGGCCTCCATACACAGGTGCTCACACAGGCAAACACACAAAAGAATGCTGGGTGCTTTGCTGGGATCATGTAGGGCAATTTGCACACATACCACAAGGAGAAAATGTCCCATGCTCACTGAACAACTTATGCAAGGTCTTCCCACTGAGGAGTCTGGAGGAAGAGATGAGAGCAGGTGCATGAAGCATCTTACATGCTTTCTCTAAGCTATTCATTCCTGCTCACCGTTTTCAGTCACGGCACTGAGTGACTGCCTCCTTTGTGCCGGTCTTAAGTGACTCTGTTCTAAATCACCTGTTTGCCTCCCAAGACCCTTCCTGTCACATCAGCTGGCATGTTTGTGGTCTGATGACCACAGAAATGGTATAAGAAGGGACAGAGGAGAAAGATCTGTCTGTAACGTGTCTGTTCTGAAAGCATGACTACCTGAGTTCAAATCCCTGGCACCCATAGGATTATTATATATTATTATTACTATTAAAAATAATCCCAGAGATCCTTGGAGCTCAATGACCAGTCTGTCTGCACAAACTGGTGAACTCTAAGTTCGATGAAAGACACTATCTCAAAAAAAAAAAAAAAGAAAGAAAGAAAAGTTAGGCTGGGTGGTGGTGATGCACCTCGAGGCAATGGCAGGTGGATCTCTGTGAATCTGAGACCAGCCTGGTCTACAGAGTGAGTTCCAAGACAGCCAGGGCTACACAGAAAAACTCTGTCTCGAAAAAAATTCAAAAGAAACAAATCAGTTAGAAGGGCTGGAGCGGTGGGTCAGCAGTTAAGAGTGCTTGCTTCTCACAGAGGACTAAAGTTCAGTTGTCAGCACCCACACTGGGTGACTTAGTGCCAGGAGCTCTAGTTGCATGGGGAATCCGATGCTCCCTGGTGGCCTCCTGGGATCCCTGCAAACACTTGGTGAACGTACCCATAACCACACACATTCTTACATGAGTGAAAATAAAATCTTTATGAAAATAAGGTAGAGAGTAATTGGGGGAGGCATCCAATGCTGCCCTCAAACACACACACACACACACACACACACACACACACACACACACACGAAGATCACTGAAGTCCCTTGGTAACGGGGTACTGCTTCGTCATCCAGTTTGATGCATGTGAGTCGCATGTTGCATAAAAACTTATTCCGTGTTTTGAGTGAAAACCAGCATCTGAGACAGCTGGGAGCAGAGCACACAAAACTGGGGGAGGAGGCCGTGAAATCCCTGTGTATAGCACTGAATCACCCCAGTGTGTAAGGTAAAGGCAGAGGCTGGAATTGGTGGTAGCACATGGATGGGTGGTCTCTGCAGAATGAATGGTCAGGTGCTCTGTGCCAGCCTGGCTTCCTCATGTCCAGCTACCGTTAGCTTTATTCAACTTTAACAGTATAATCTGATGAGATTTACCTTGGATAATGCCCAGAAATGGAATCGCTGGCTCACATTAGCTCTGTTGTTCATTTTTTACATATTTATTAGATTTTTTTCTTTTGTAAAAATGTTTAGATTTGTTTATGTGTTTGGATCTTTTATCTACATATGTATATGTGTGCCACATGCAGGAACCAGTAGAGGGCACCAGCTCTCTTGGCACTACAGTGGGTGCTGGGAACTGAACCCAGGTCCTGTGCAAGAGCAGGCAGTGCTCTTAACCACTGTGTCGTCTTTCTGACTTCTTTTCCTAAGTTCTTACTGGCATGCATTTGCTGTGCACGATGCAGGATTCCACATTTTCACATAGCATGTAATATGCTTTCCGCACATTTCCTCCTTGGCTCCTCTGCTATATGACCCTGCTCCTGGGAGCGATGAACAAATATCCATTTACCCCAAACAGGGAACTGACAGCGAACCAAAATAACAATAGCACTGAAGTCCAACTCAGTGAGCCAATGAGTTTATCAGAGTTACTTACAGCTGTATAGGTGAGGGGCTACTTATAAGAGCAAAACATTGCAAAGTCAGTTTTATCACTGAAAGCCCACCTAGCATGGGCTCACAGAAGCTGGCACCTTAGACCTCACTGCACAGCTCCTGGGAACTCAGTGCGCTAGAGAGTTCCCTTCCAGGCTACTCGGCTGCTCGGCTGGTTGGAGTCTCCTCCAGTTTACGGCTGAGAAGCTAGAACTAACTCCTAGAGTTATCCTTCCTTGAGGAAGAATATGAGGTAGAGGGAAGGGTCTTTGGGGGTACCATTTCCTCCAGGAGCAAGGCTTGCCATCTCGGTGTGTCATCTCTAGGCTGAAGAACTGTGAAGCCACCTTTATAGACTGGATTCTGCTTACCAGCAATCTTCAAAGGAACTCGCACCTGAAGGCTGTGCTATTGACAGCAAGCCCCCCAAACATTTTTGGGGTGAAGTACCTGCTGCTGAGTTACCTCAGGGAACTGATGTAAGTTTAAATTCTCTTCCTGTCGTTATCATTTGGTAGCTCCAGGGCATCCCTAAAGAAATCCTGTGCCACAATGGGAGAAGGTAGATGTATTTAACAGGTGGCAGTCTTATGGTTGATGCGATTGTGTGGGTATACAAATGAACATCCACGAAAACTGAAGAAGTGTGACAGAGGGAGGGAGCACAAGATAAGGAATACCTGTGCTGGCTGATTTTGTCAACTTGACACAAATCTAGACATCTCCAGGAAGAAAAAAATGCCTTCATCAGATTGGCCCATAGGCAAGCCTGTAGGGCACTTTCTTGATTAGTGATTGATGTGTGATCCCACTCCACTATGCCCAACCCTGAGCAGATGGTCCTGGGGTCTATAAGAAAGCAGACTGAACAAGCCATGGGAAGCAAGCCAGTAAGCAACATTCCAACATGGGGTCTGCTTTGCGTTCCCTCCCTGACTTGCCTGGATGACGGGCTGGAGGGTATAAGGTGAAATAAGCCCTTCCCTCCCCAAGTTGCTTTTGGATACAGGAATTTATCAAAGTGATAGAAACCTACCCTGTTGATTAGGGCTCAACAGGTAAGAGAACTTGCCATTCTAGTAGAAGAGCCAAGATCAGCCTCTAGCTACCAATGTAGAGTAGCTCAAAAGAGCCTTTAACTCCAACTCCAGAGGATCCAATAACCTTTTCTGGCCAGTATGGTCACCTGAACTCTTGTACACATCCCCCCATGCAGACATATATGCATAATTTAAAAATAAAATCACTTGCAGTGGTTTGAATAAAATGTCCCCCATAGGCCAATAGGGAGTGTGGCATTGTTGGAATAGGTGTGGCTTTGATGGAGGAGGTGTGTCACTAGCTTTGAGGTCTCAGAAGCTCAAGCCAGTTGTTTCCTGCTATGGATCAAGATGCAGAACTCTCAGCTCCTTCTCCAGTACCATAACCGCCTGCACACTGCTGTGCTCTTCAACATGATGATAACTGGCCAAACCTCTGAACTGTAAGCCAGCCCCAATTAAATGCTTGCCATGATCATGGTGTTTCTTCAGGGCAATAGAACCCTGAGAGAAGTATATACTTATACCTAATACCCTAGACCATATCATCATGAGCTCTGTGTGTCCTCCATCCAATGAACGAAACAGTATTATCATTACTGTGTTCTCCCCTCTCTGTGCCTATCAGCTGTCTTGAATGCAACTGAACAGGCTAGAATCTTTTAACTCCATGGCAGAACTATACACACTTATCCTTAAGCAGGATGGCACACAGGCACACGGGTTTCTATTATCTAACATTTTACACAGACGGAGGCATCTGCTGTCCTTCCTTTTTAATCAGTAGGTTTTTGGTTTGGGGATTTTTTAGTTTGGTGTTTTTGTTTGTTTGTTTGGTTGGTTGGTTTGATTTTTCGAGACCGGGTTTCTCTGTAGCTTTGGAGCCTATCCTGGAACTAGCTCTTATAGACCAAGCTGGCCTCGAACTCACAGAGGTCCGCCTGCCTCTGCCTCCTGAGTGCTGGGATTAAAGGCGTGTGCCATCACCTCCTGACTCACACAAGCAGGTTTTAAATGGACATTTTAGTAGCAGAGTTGAAGAGGGCTTGTCTTCAGTCCGCAAGGTTTTGTGGCTGGCTATGCCCATTTCCAGTCCTATCGTCAATGCATAGCAAAGTTCCCAGGACTTGAAATTCTCAGCTGACTCTAGTCAGGTTTTGTCAACCTGTTGAGCAGCAAATGATACTTTATTGTTTTAATTGATACTTCTGTCATTTTTCTGAATGATCTTGTTTTTAATTATTTTTATATGTGTATTTCCCATGCATATGTATGTACCCACGCACACGCGTATCATGGCACACGTGAAGGTTTGGCGACAACTTGCAAGAGTCAGTTCTCTCCCAAAACTATGCTGATCCCAAACTCTAACTCAACTAATTGAGCTTGATAGCAAGAACCTTTGCCTTCCAACCATCTCATTGGCCCAATAATCTTTCTATTCATCATGTTAGCCCTGATCTCTGCACTTGGTGTGTCTTTCCATTTCTAACGCCTGGAATTGTGTCTCTTCCTGGGTCAACTCTCATTGAGTCGGTCACCTTTGCTGTCCTCTTTGTAAAGATTTGCTTAGTTTTATTTTACATGCTTGAGTGTTTGCCTGCATATATGTCTGCATGCAACATGCATGTCAGAAAGCAGCAGTGAATTCCCTGGATGTGGAGTTAATGGTTGTGAGCCACCATGTGGGTGCTAGGAACCAAACTTAGGTCTTCGGGAAGACCAGCCAGTGTGCTGGACTTACTGAGCCCTCTCTCTATTTCCCTCTCTGTCATACAGTTTTCCTGACTCTGTTATTCCTTCAATCTGTTATCCTCTCTTCTACAAAACCTGAAAACCCTAAGAGCTGGTGACAGAGCCATACAAAGCTTTCTGCTTCTAGAAGGAAAGCTCGGGTTAAAGTGACTGTTCCTCAGCATAGCACACACACACACACACACACACACACACACACGCATGCATGCGTGCACACACACACAAACTAAACAAAAAAAAAGCTAGTTGTGGAAATGAATTTAAACTGTCCCTTGTCAGTTGTAGGAGTCAGACTGATCAAGGATACCACAAGAAATCTCACAGAATCAACTAACCTGGGCTCATTGGAGCTCACAGAGACTGAACCAACAACCAGGGAGCCTGCACAGGACTGACGTAGGCCCTCTGTATATATGTTACAATCGTGTAGCTTGGTCTTCTTGTGGGACTTCTAATAATGGGAACAGAGGCTGTCTCTGACTCCTTTACTGACTTTTAGGATCCTGCTCCTCATACTGGGTCACCTTGTTCAGTCTCAATACACGGGAGGAGCTTAGTCTTACTGCAACTTGATATACTATGCTTTGTTGGTCCTCATGGGAGACCTGTCCTTTCCTAAACAGAAACAGGGGAGGAGTTGATGGGAGAAGTAGAAACATAGGGGGGTGGGAGAGAGACAGGGAGGAGAAGAGAGAAGGGAAACTTCGGCCAGGAAGTAAAATAAATAAATAGATTTATATTTATATATGTATACATATAATATGTGCATGTACATTAAAAACTGCCCCTTGCCTGTGCATTTCTCTTCGCAGGCTGGAGAACTGCAACCTCACTGAGAACTCTTGTCAAGAAATTGCCCTCTCTCTCAGCCACAGTAAGCTGCTGACCCACCTGAGTCTGGCAGAGAACGACTTGAAGGATGAAGGATCGAGGCATATCTGGAATGCTCTGGAACATTTAATGTGTCCTTTGCAAAGACTGGTGTAAGTCTGCAAGGATTTTCTTCCTGAAACTCTGGAGGGATTAGGAGGGGGTGATCAGGAGACTCTATCATGGATTCACCTATGCGGAATGTTAAGTCTTGTGATGATTTAGTTTTTCTATAATGTGTAGTCAGCTGAGAAGAGACTCTCAATGAGTACTGTCTAGATCAGATAGTGGGCCTTTGGGCATGTCTGTGGGAGATTGTCTGATTGAGCTCATTGATTTAGGAAGACTCAGACTGAAAATGGGTATTACCATTCCCTTGACTTGGGTCCTATGAATGAAGAGAAAGTGAGCTGAATACATGCATGCATTTATATTCTGTGTGTGTGTGTGTCTGTCTGTCTGTCTCTGTCTCTAAGAAAGTGAGCTGAATACAAGCATGCATTTATGTGTGTGTGTGTCTGTCTGTCTCTGTCTCTAAGAAAGTGAGCTGAATACAAGCATGCTACATAGCATGAATAATAAAAGTCCAGAGACAGATACTGGGGTTCAAGATGAAGATCAGAAAAACAAAGCAGCCAGCCACTGGCTCTAACCACTACCTCAGACCAGATTCGTCCTGCCTCCACGAATCCTCATGCTGAGACCTATCCTCTCCCATCTTATATTCCTCTCTAGTACTGGGATTAAAGGCAAGCACCACCGTGGCGAAGCCTCTATGGCCAACTAGTATGACTGCTGGGACTAAAGGTGTGTGCAACCACGGCCTGACCTGTATGGCTGACTAGTGTGGCTGTCTTGTGTTCTGATCTTCAGGCAAGCTTTATTTATTAAAACAAAAATAATATGCCACTATAATGCATTTAATGCATTTATTCTCTCTCTCTCTCTCTCTCTCTCTCTCTCTCTCTCTCTCTCTCGACTGTGCATTGTATAGCTGCTTCAGGTTCCAGCTACTTAGATTTTCGTTGAAGCACAACTGAGGGGAGTGAACACAGCAGTGGGCACTGTACCCACTCAGAGGTTGATGCTGGCTAGCGTGCTGGAGTGTTGGCTGGCTTGACCTTGTGCTAAACTTATGCAGGCAACCATGGCTGCTGTGAGATGGTACCTGAGTTCCCAGTAGAGAGCAAAGTTGTTACTATTTCCATTGTGGAGGCAAATGATCTAGTCCTTAACCCAGTTCTCTGAGGTGAAGCCACAGAGTGGAAATTCTCAGATTTGAGGGACATGGAGGAGTATCAGATATTTACCACTGGAGGAGTCGCTAGCTGGAGGTCACTGAGTCTGAAAACTAGATTGCATTCAATTCCCCTTGGCGATATCATGTATTTGCAAAGCTGTGTTTTCCGTGGTGATGTCATGGCGACAGGGATCTTACAGATTAAATGAGGGAAAAGGTACGTCCTGAAAATAGTGACCAAGTGTGAAGGCTGGTGCCAACCGAGAATGTTTAGGAACCTTTGAACTTGTGTTCCCCATCTCCTGTGTTCTGAGTGAGTGCTCTGTCTGCCTCTAAGACCAGAACAGTGCCATGAGACCTGGCTTCCTGCTGTAGGAAGAATGTCTTGTTTCTGGCATACTGCTGGGGACCAGAATGCATTCCTTTGGTGGGGGTGGGGGCGTTGAGACAGGGTTCTCTGTGTGATCCAGCTGCCCTGGAATTCACTCTGTAGACCAGGCTGGCCTCGAACTCACAGAGAACAACCTAACTCTGCCTCCCAAGTGCTAGGATTAAAGACATGTGCCCCAATCACCCAGCCAGAATGCATTTTAAATGATAATCTGTTGGCCATTTATCTCACACAAGCAAGCATGGGTTCCTTAGATGGCTTTCCTCAGAGTTCATATTGGTCATTTTCTCCTTGATGTGTTGATGTGACCAAATTCCCAACAAGAAGATACTTGAGTGGACAAGAGTTCATTGTGACTCATGATTAAGGGGAATCTACATTCTTTTCTGACCTGACGGAAAAGGCATAGCAGCAGGAGCATGAAGCAACTGGGCACATTGGGTCTGTAGGCAGGAACCACAGAACTGACAGGAAATGGGGCTCTAAAACCTCACGATTCCCCTGGCAAGATGGCAAGCCTGTCAACGTGAGTTTGAGCCCAAGGACCAACGTGGTTAAAGGAGATAACCAAGTCTTGCAAATTGTCCTTTGACCTCGCTACATGTGCGTTATGTCATTGCCATACACACACACACACACACACCACTGCCTCCATTGAGTGCTATTTAAGCAAATGAGTATGTGGCCCTCCATTAGAACATTGGCAACCTTCTAGCGACCACACACCCAAAGAAAAATGACCCCTCTCCCTCCCTCTGCCATCAATTGCCGCTAGCTCTTTGGTTGGTGGGGTTGTTTGTGCCCCTCCCAACTCTGTGCTGAATTTCTAGCTTGATCTTGTGCGGGCCACCACAGCGGCTGTGAGTTCAGGAGAACAGTCATTGTGCCGTGGCCAGAGGGCAGACACCCCTCCCATCTTCTGGTTCTTACTTGGCGTTTTCTGCACACACACACACACACACACACCCCATGTTCTCTGAGAAGTTAACCAAGATGTCCTAATTACTGAAACCATGGAAGAAATGAGTATAGTCCAAGAGTGATTTGGATGGTGTTTCCTGACAGGCTGAGGCAGTGTTCTTTGACTTCAGCATGCTGTAAATATATGACGTCACCTCTCAAAAACAATAAAAGCCTGCAAAGTCTGGACCTGAGTTTCAACAGGCTGATGGACGACGGGGTCATCCTACTCTGTAAAGCTCTGGAAGATACCAACTGCAACTTGTTGGTCCTGGAGTAAGTTGTCTCAATTTTCCCAGCATCTCCGTCTCTACCCCTAGCCCTGAGGTTAGGAACTCCTGCAGCCACGTCTGTTGTAAGATAATAGCTGCTAAGGGTCTGACTCTTTCCCAGAGAAGTCTCAACTCCCTAAGCCATCTCACTAGACCCTCGTTCCCTCCCCTGAATAATCGCCCTGCAGACCCTAGTGCATAGCAGAGACTTGCAGCCTGCTTCAGCTGCGGTGGGATTCGGGTCTGTGCGCTCTGTGTGAGATGAGCCCTCAGACATTTGAGGACATAGTGACTTCCCTTCTGTCTATTTCTGGGTTTTGCTTTGGTGTATGTGTGTGTTTGGGGTTTTTTGTTGCTGTTTTTTTTTTCCGTTGTATTTTTGAGACAGTGTAGGGGAAACTCCGCCCAATGGGGGGCCTCAGGCTAATATTTACATATAAATCTGGAGGCATGAGCCCCTGCCACTCTCTTTTTTATATATCTCCTGCTCATCGCTGGATCCCTAATGTTGTAAGCTATTCCTTCATTAAAATTTGCTGTTTCATATTAAGCTAGCCTGATTATTACGCCGACTGCATTTTGGCGCTCCAACACCGGGCTTTTTTGCCCCCGCCCTTGCATGGCTGGGGGCACAAGCTCGATCTTTCCCAGCCTTTGCGAGCAAGTCACCTGAGCGTAGCCCACTAGCTTTCACAGCGTGCTCCCGGCTCGTTTTCCCTTCCCCTACTCTCATCCAGCTGCACGTTCACCGGGGGCTCGGCCCAGGCCAAGGTACAGTCGCAGCTCGCAGCTGGGCAGATCAGTGACCCCACTTGGCCCCGCCCGCCATACTAAACAGAGCAGCGGCCCACACAAGTCTGTGTGGCCCTGACCTGCCCGCCAGAATCTCCACTGCAACAAGACAGGGTTTCTCTGTAGCTTTGGAGCCTGTCCTGGAACTCGCTGTAGACCAGGCTGGCCAGAACTCACAGAAATTTGCCCATCTCTGTCTCCCTGAGTGCTGGGATTAAAGGCATGTACCAGCACCACCCAGCCCTTCTATTTCTGCCCCCACAGGCTGGAAAAGTGTTGGTTCACCTCCGCCTCTTGCCACACCCTGGCATCCATGCTCTGTAGGAACAGGAAGCTGAGGTACCTGGACCTGAGCAAGAACATTATCAGAATCAATGGCATGCTGACCTTGGCCCTGGAGTTATTCAGACAGAGGCGGGCAGATGAGGTTGTACTGTAAGTTCCATGGGAACCAAAGAGACTCAGTAACCATTGGGAAGAGGTTTTTTTTTTGTTTGTTTGCTTGGTTTTTGGGGTTGTTTTGTTGCTGTTGTTGTTTGGGTTTGGCTTGATTTTTCAAGACAGGGTTTCTTTTTTTAATTTATTTGTTTTTTAAAACGATCTTTTCTCATTAACATACCTATCCCAGTGCCACTCCCTTCCCTCCTCCCACCCCCCTGCCTTCTGATACAGCACTTTGAGGCAGAACCAGGGCCCTCCCCTCTATAGTTAGGCTGAGCAAGGTATCCCTCCAAAATGAATGGGCTCCAAAAAGCCAATTCAAGCACTAGGGATAAATCCTGATCCCACTGCCAGTGACCTCAAAGACTGCCCCCTCCACACATCTTTCACCCACATTCAGAGGGCCTAGTTTGGTCCTATGCAAGTCCCCGCTGTCAGTCCAGAGTCAATGAGCTCCCACTAGCTCAGGTCAGGTATTTCTGTGGGTATCCATATCATGGGCTTGGTCGTGTTATTGCTCCTTCCTCTTGGGCTGGTCTCTGGGAGCTTGGCCCAATGCTTCCCTGTGAATCTCTGCCTCTGCTTCCATCAGGTTCTATGGTGACAATTAAGGTAGTCATCAATCTGATTACAGGGAAAGGCCAGTTGAGGTACCCTCTCCTCTCTTGCTTAGAATCTTAGCTGGGGCCTTCCTTGTGGATTCCTGGGAATTTCCCTAGTGCCACGTTTCCCGCTGGCCTCATATTGGCTCCCTCAGTCAAGATATCTCTTTCCTTGCTCTCCCTCTTTGTCCTTCCCCCATCTTGACCATCCTGTTCCCTCAAGTTTTCTTTCCCCCTCCCCTTCTCTCTTCTCTTCCTCTTCCACACTCCCTTCCCCTACCTCACGCTTCCAATTTTCTCAGGAGATCTTGTCTATTTTCCCTTCCCTGAGGGATCCATGTATGTCAAGGTGGGGTTTCTTGGTGGCTTTGGAGCCTGTCTGGGAACTCACTCTGTAGACCAGTAGACCAGGCTGGCCTTAAGTTTGTTGGGTTTTTTCCTTTTTTCTTTTTCTTTTTTTTTTTTGACTTTGAAGAAAATGCAGAAAGCTAATATGTCATTTTGTCACAAAATAGTGTTTAATGTAGTTCTGATCTCATTTCCCTGAGTTCCTCAGTGGCTGGGTTCTCCAGGGAGCTCTCTTCCCAATGTCTAGTGGAGCTTCCTCCCTAAATTCCTCCATCCTATTGGTTCAGAGCACAGGGCCTCCTCTAATGTACATCCTCCTTTTCTGATGTCAGGTTAGGCAGATGGCCGATTTCCCAATCCTAGGATGAACTGAGAGCACCTAGAGAGCAAGCAGGAATCTGCTGCCAGCTAACGAAGGCGGGGCATCAGGGCTCCCTTTATCTGCTTCTCTCATGAGCTCTCCCTAAACAAATGTTTCTTACAGGCGTCAGAAGGTCTCCTATGCACAAACACAACTCAACATCTCCTGTGTAGAGTGAGATGCACCATGGGTGTGGCTGGAAATCTGACCGGTTCCTGGGAACTCCCAGCCCGCTTCATGTGCCATTTAGACCATCTGATGGGAAAGGGGTCTGTGTTCTCCTGACTGCTATGCTCTCTCTTTTCATCCTTTCCTTTCTGTTTCCTTCATTTTTTTTTCTGGTTTTTGTCTCCTTTTGTTTCTATGTATCCCTGGGTGGCTTCAGCCTCATCTTCCCCTGCCTCAAGCTTTCTGAGCACCAGGATGATATGGCATGAGTTAACATGCCTCTCTCTTCATCCCGAGTTTTAGACTGAGTTGTTGTTGTTGTTGTTGTTGTTATTATTATTATTATTATTATTATTATTATTATTATACTGTTCACCAGCTGAGTGACTGTCAATCACCTTGTCTGCCTTTGTGCCTCAGTTTCCCTGTCTGTAGGTAGGATTTGAGTGGGTTCTTCATCCATGAGATTTCAGGATTATTATGGGGAGTGTACATGTGAGAGACCAAGCACTGACATGTTGTCACCCAGGGGTGGATGTGGGCTCAGGTGTCATTGCAACCGATGCCTTCAGAGCCCATACTGTGCAGCAAATTACCTCAATATGTTTTCACCTAAAGCAGTGAGCAGACTCTCTGATGGGCAAAGCCACAGAGCTGTCTGACCAGCCATTCAGATCAGGGTGTCTCACTGGGTCTCAGTGAGGCTGTTGCCTAGGATGTGATGGGAGCTGGGAATCTTCTGTCCACACACGTGGCCATTGGCCAGAGGTCAGGAATCTTCTGTCGACACACGTGACCATTGGCTAGAGGCCAGGAATCTGCTGTTCACACATGTGGCCATTGGCCAGAGGCCTGTGCTGTTCTATAGGATAACTCCTGACATTAGCTAGTTTCTCCCAGAATGCATGACAAGAGAGATGTACAGAAACACAGAGAGACAGACAAATGGAAACAGATTTGGAGAAACACGCAGAGAGAGAGAGAGAGAGAGAGAGAGAGAGAGACAAAGATACCAAGAAAGACAGAGAGAAACACAGAGGCAGAGATAGACAGCAGAGAGAAACAGAGAGATGCAAAGAGACACAGAAACCAAGAGACAGACACCGAGAAAGACATTTAACAGAGACTCGTGAGGCAGAGATAGAAAAACAGACATGCATACAGAGACACGGAAGGAGACAAGCAGAGACAGGGCATGTACAGAATCCTGCTCCCAGGGTTCCTGGATTGGGGGAACGCAAAGGCTAAGAAAATGTCACATGAAAGAAACTGAGACAGAAAACACAGGATAGAACCAGGAGGGCTGTTTGGTCATGCCAAAACAGCCAAACAATCCAAAGTTTATTTTAGAACTTGCTTATATGCAAAGGCAAAACAAAGCACAGCACAGATGGTCAGTCAGTGTCTATCCACAAGACCATTCCTGTCCGTGGATGAGCAGTCTTCCAGCTAACATGTGCTTGCTGTTCAGGAGCAGCCTCACTTTCTTTTTTTTTAATTAATTAATTATTTATTATGAATACAATGTTCTGCTGGCATGTATCCCTGCAGGTCAGAATTGGACGCCAGATCTCATTGCAGATGGTTGTGAGCCACCATGTGGTTGCTGGGAACCAAACTCAGGACCTCTGGAAGAACATCAGTGCTCTTAACCACTAGACCACCTCTCCAGCCCGCAGCCTCACTTTCTAACTTGATGTTCCTGAGGTTTGGTGTCAGCTGTGTTCTTTCTACTAGATAGAATGTTCTTTCCTCGTGGGCAAAATGCTCTTTCCCATGAGCTAAATCAGAAATCTCTCACAGTCCTTGAGATTGTTGGGGAAAGCAGGGCAGGCAAGCTTGAACTCAAATGACTTATAAGTCAAAACTGACTCCAAATGGAAACTGAGTCACACATGGGCTCCCACATAGAGGAAGACACACAGGGATAGAGATGTAGAGAGACACGGGGAAAGATGGATGGAGACACAGAAACACAGAGAGACACACAGGGAGACAAAAACATGGAGACAGGGACACAGAGACACAAAGAGACACATTGAGGTAGAGACTCACAGGTGTGCATAAAGAGTCATAGAGAAAGAGACACAGAGATACATGGGAAAAAGCCAGAGATGGCCACAGAGAGACACAAAGACATAAAGAGGTGGCATAGATATGCATAGAAACATATGGCCAGAGTGCGACCTGGTTAGACTCACAAAGGTCCACACAGAGAGACAGACTGACAAGGACAGAGAAACAGATACATGGAGACAAACAGAGTGGCCAAGAGCTAAAAGGCGGCTCGTAAAACACAACACACAGAGGAAGACACAGAGGCAGGGAGATAGAGAACACATATATAGTGACAGACAGAGATGGGGACATGTATATACACAGAGACACAGAGAGAGACAGCCACATGGAGACAGAGACGCAGGGAGACAGACACACAGATACGGAGCTAGAAAAGAGACAGAGACACACATAGGCCGGGCGATGATGGCGCACACCTTTAATCCCAGCACTCGGGAGGCAGAGGCAGGCAGATCTCTGTGAGTTCGAGACCAGCCTGGTCTACAGAGCTAGTTCCAGGACAGGCTCCAAAGCCACAGAGAAACCCTGTCTCGAAAAACCAAAAAAAAAAAAAAAAAAAAAAAGCGAGACACACATAGGCCAAAAACCAGAAGGCAACAGACCTTTATAACTTTCAGTGTGCACCCTATACATCTGCGTTATTCTATTGGCCATTCAGGCCAGCCCTGGTCTACCAGGACGTGAATGGCAGGATAGTCCCTGGGCCATGGGGGGCAGAGGGCACAAGATGGGACACTGCTTACTATGTGTCCCAAGCAGGTGGATCACTGCACAGGACTCCAAACCCAGAACTGTTTCGGATTTTTTGTTGACACGGCCTCAGACTCACAGAGATCTTCCCCTCTGCACCCCCCCCCACCTCTCCCACCCTGGGTGACAGGATGAAAGGCCCTGGCCACTACAAAAGCCAAGTCTCTGGAGGTGTTTGTTTAGCTCTAGCCTCACACTGGTCTCCTGGGTGGCAACTTCCTGTGCTAGAGTGTTTGTGGCTTTCCTGGGATTGCTTCACAATCTTTGTCGTTTGTTTTGTTTTGTTTTTTTGAGACAGGATTTCTCTGTGTAGCTTTGGAGCCTGGCCGGGAACTCACTCTGTAGACCAGGATGGCCTGGAACTCACAGAGATCCACCAGCCTCTGCCTCCCAAGTGCTGGGATTAAAGGCTTGCGCTATCACCGCCTAGCTACTTTGCAGTCTTAAATGTCAAATACCAAGCCTTGTTTTCTGTGCCCTTCCCAGGTCGAAGAAATCAAATAAAAGCCTAGACATGTACACAAGACTAAAGGGCCCAGAGGTAGAGAGTGACCATCTGAAGATCGTGGAAGACTGGAACTCTTGTTACCTCAAGATGCTATGAGGCCCTCGGGACACATTCTTTCCATTTAAAACGGAAACAGTGCCTGGTTTGGTTTGCAGGGCCTTCTTTGTCAGGAACAGCCCAGTTTGTGCTGGGGCGTGGTGTGGGCGTGGCCTCCACAACCCCCTCTGGTTAGGGGCTATCACTATGTTCATAAGCAGATCAGACACTTAAGTGGGACCAGGTGGTTAGAGGGTTGGGAAATGCCTGTTTTACCTGCTGGGAGAAATAAATTAAACATGTTTGTGCAATGATGGCAGTGTGAGCCAGTGTTCATTTACCAGTTGCCTGGCACATGCGCTATTCAGAAGAAAGAAACCTGTTCCTTGTCTGAAAGTTGGCTACTATGGGAGATTTACAAGGGAAGTGACGCCAGGGAGTTTAAGAAGGTCACAGAGACAGAGTGATATAGAGCTACAGAAGCAAAGCGATACAGAGACAGAGAGCTGAAAAGACTCGGAAAAACAGGAAATGGAAGACATGTAAAGAAACACAACAGAAAGACAAGTGAGGAGCCAGAGATAGGGAGACAACGACACATGGGGAGAAAGAAAAACGTAGAAGACACAGACCAACACACCCATAAAAGGCACAGGGACCCACAGAGTCACACAAACAGAGGCAGAGATACACAGGGGCCAAGGGCTTCCACGAAAGTGAGGTGTCACTGCTGTGTGTGACCTACCTGAGACATGAACAAAGCCCGCAAACAGCGAGACACCTGTGTGTCCATGTTGACGGGCGCTGAACTCCATCACGGGGCTGCCGAGGTGGCTCAGAGGGTAAAGTGCCTGCTGGTCTCCATCTGGCCATTCTCCTGCCTCAGCCTCCTCCTGGGTCCCAGGTTTATGTACTCAGAAGTAGTGCAATTACATCATAGTGTAGTTTATTCTTTGAGGACCCTTCATGCATACTGATGTACAGATAAAGAAAATGGATAGACAAGATCTATCGGTATCATACATCTGTTGCCAGGCACCAAGGTTGATCCATGGCCTGGCTCATGAACTGCCACAGTAAAATGATCTAACTTTTTTTTCTTCCTTTTTTTTCTTCCATTCTTCTCTCAAACAATACATCCCAACTACAGTTTCCCCTCCTTCCAGTCCTCCAAGTCCCCCTTTCTCTCAACCCCAGATCCACTCCTCCTCTGTTTCCCTTCAGAAAGAGCAGGCCTCCCAGGAATAACAACCTAACATGGCAGAACAAATTACAGTAAGGCTAGGCACAAACCTCATATCAAGGCTGGATGAGGCAACCCAGTAGGAGGAAAAGGGTCCCAAGAGCAGGCAAAGGAGTCAGAGACACCAACTCCCACTGTTAGGAACCTTGCAAAAACACCAAGCCAAAAACCATAACATATATGCAGAGGTCCTAGCACAGGCCCATGCAGGCTCCATGATTCCTGCTTCAGTGTCTGTCAGCCCCTACGAGCCCTGCTTAGTTGATTCTGTTCTCCTTAACCCCTCTGGCTCCTACAATTCTTCCTCCCCCTCTTCCATAGGGTCCCCTGAGTTCTGAGGAGAGGGAGCCCATGGAGATCTCCTATTTGGGCTTTCTCCACCTAATGGCTGAGGTCTCTTTGTCTGCTACCATCAGCTGCCAGAGGAAACCTCTCTGATGACTAAACTGGGCTAGCCACCAATTTACTAGCAATTATTTTTTGTTTTTGTTTTTGAGACAGGGTTTCTCTGTGTAGGCTTGGATATCTTAGAACTCGCTCTGTAGACCAGGCTGGCCTGGAACTCACAGAGATCCACCTGCCTCTGCCTCCCAAGTGCTGGGATTAAAGGCGTGCGCCAACACCACTTGGCATAGCAATTATTTTTTAAGTAGAGTTGTCTGGGTCAGCAAGATGGCTCAGTGGGTCAAAGTGCTTGCCACCTGATGATCTGAGTTCCATCCCCAAGATGGTGGAAGGAGAGAACTCCCAAAAATTACCCTCTGACCTCCATGGGCACACATGGCATGGGCACGCCCACACACAACCGATCGAGGAATGAATAGGTAACTAAATGTCAAAGGCAGTTTGACCACCTGCTCATTTAGACCAGGCTAGCCTTGAACTACTGATTTCTCTCCTTCTATGAACTAAGGGCTGGGATTATGATTCTGTGCTTCCATGCCTGGTTGTATGAGGTGCTGGGGATCAAACAGGGGCTTTCATGTATGCTAGACTGGCCCCTCTACCACTGAGCTACGCCCTTAGCCCAATTGCTTCATTAGTATAAAGCAATCTAGTTTTGACTTTTTTTTATTCTTTCTGTTGTTTTTGTTGATGTTGTTTTATTTTTTTGAGACAGGGTTTCTCTGTATAACAGCTCTAGCTGTCTTAGAACTAGAACTGTAGACTGGCCCGACCTCGAACTCACAGAGTTCCGTCTGCCTCTGCCTCTGGGATTAAAGGGGTGTGCCACCACCACCCGGTACTTTTTTATTCTTAATTGTGTGTGTGTGTGTTATGTGTATGTGTATGTGCATGCAGGGAGGGGTTGTGTATATGAGCACTGACAGAGGCCAGAAGAAGGTGTCCAGTTCCCCCTGGAGCTGGAGTTTCTGCTGATTGTGAGACACCCTGTGTGGGTTCTGGGAACAGAACACAGCTCTTCTGCAAGAGCAGCAAGCACTGAGCCATCTCCCCAGCCCCTTTTCAAAACAGAACACACATTTCACTTATCCCATATGACCGCACAACATAAAGAAAATACAGAAAGTTTTGACATTAGTTTAGCTAAATAATTGAAGTAACTTTCCCCCTTATTTTTATTGATTATTTTGAGTTCCTTTGAGCTGTTGCAGTCAAGCCGCTATTAGCATATTAACGGCACCAGATGTCACTATGGTCAGCATGTGTGGCACGCGTGTAATGTTCTATAAATTCACTGTGGAGTGATCAAGTCGAGATAATCAATATGTCATACTAAATAAAGGTGGAAAGGAGAACGAGAATCTACTAAAGCACTCTGCTCAGTAAGGGCACTGAGGGCTGCAGTGGTGACTCAGAGGCTAAGGGCATTTGCTTCTCGTGAGAGGACCCAAGTTTGGCTCCCAGAACCCACATCAGGAGTCACAAGTGCTTTTAACTCCAGCTCTGGGGATCTGACACCCTCTCTGGCTTCCACAGACACACGCATTCACACAGTGCATATAGGCTAGTGCAGGCACATTCATATGCATATAAGTACATCTTTAAATTTTTAATGATATAATGATATATAATATCTTGTATGTTAATAGCTAAGCATTATTCATAATAGCCAAGAAATGGGATTAACCTAAGTCTCCATTAGTAGGTGGGTGGATAGATAAATTGTGGTACATATAACAAAGAAAGAAACCCTGTAATTTGCAACAATATGGATGAATTGTTTTTGTTGGTGGTGGTGGTGAGTTTTTTTTTTTTCCCCTTGGTTTTTCGAGACAGGGTTTCTCTGTGTATGTTTGGCTGTCCTGGATCTCACTCTGTAGATCAGGCTGGCCTCGAACTCACAGAGATCTGCCTGCCTCTGCCTCCCTGAGTGTGTGCCACCACTGCCTGGCGTGGATGATTTGTTTATAGAAAACATGATACTAAATGAAGTATAATACGCACAGAAAGACAACAATGCATGTCATCAAGAAAGTTGGGCTTAGAAGCAGAATGGAGTTAGCAGAGGCTAGGGAGAAAGGAATTTGAACGCAGAAAGTATAATGTTTCAAGTAAGTAGGAGGTCTGTTGCACAAAAAAGCAATCGTATTTAGGTATAATTTGGGCTGACAAGATGGCTTTGTGGGTTAAAGGTGCTTGCTGTCAAACCTGATGATCTCAGTTCAATCCGTGGGTCTCACATGGTGGGAGGAGAGAATGAGAATAAAATTCCACAGACTGTCCTCTGACATACATACATACACTCACATGCACGCACACGTATGTAGTGATGTTTCATTTGTAGTGATATTTCACATACATACACTCACATGCATGCATACGTATGTAGTGATGTTTCATTTGTAGTGATATTTCACATACATACACTCACATGCATGTACACATATGTAGTGATGTTTCATTTGTAGTGATATTTCACATACATACACTCACATGCATGCACACATATGTAGTGATATTTCACATGCATACACTCACATGCATGCACACATTTGTAGTGATATTTCACATACATACACTCACATGCACGCACACATATGTAGTGATATTTCATTTGTATTTTAATGACTAAAGCTTGCCTGAAGATCAGAGAGTAAAACAGCCCCACTGGTCAGCCTTACAGACAAGGCAGTGGTGGCACACACCTTTAATCCCAGTAGACACACTTGTTTGCCATAGGATCCAGGCGGTAGTGATGCATGCCTTTAGTCCCAGCACTAGAGAGGAATATAGGATGGGAGGAGGAAGCTCTCAGAAACGGTCTCGTTCTGAGGGTTCATGGAGGCAGGATGGCTATTTCAGACTGAGGTAGAGGTAAGAGCTGGTGACTAACTGTTTTGCTTTCTGATCTTAAGGCAAGCTTTATTTATTAAAATACAAATGAAATGTCACTACACATATGCACAAGCACACACATATACACTTGCACACAGTGACACACAGGCACATGCGCACAAACATGATAAATAAATGTAAATTTTTAAAAATTAAGAATAATAAATTGTAGGGGGCCGTGGAAATGGTTCAACTGCATAGTGCTCACTGTACAAGCCTGAGGACCTGAGTTCAAGCCCCATAACCCATGAAAAAAAAGAAGAGGGTTGTGAACTCCAAGCCAGAGACACTATCATTGAAGAAATATGGGAGAGGGTTGGAGATTTAGTTCAGTGGTAGGAAGCCCAAGGCCCTAGGTCCAAAAGAAAAAAATATATGGCTCAGTGGTTAAGAGCCCTTACTTGGGTTCAGTTTCCATCACCCATGTGGCAGATCACAAGCACCTATAACTACAATTCCGGGGGATTTAACGCCCTCTTCTGGCCTCCCTGAGCACCATACACACAAAGAGAGTACA